GCAATAGTTCTACGCGAAAGCGTCTTTATCCCCATCACAGGAGGGTCGGAAGTCAACAATTGTGCGATTTACGCGTAACCATCTGCTCTGCACAGGCGGAGGAGATAGACACCTCTCACTCTCTGTACTTCGAGTTTTTGATCCGTTTTATGTACAGGAATGATTCGCAGGAAAATTGAGGTCGCAGGTATTCCCACTATCTTATAAAAATGATATTATTAAGTGCTATAAGGGCAGAACAGTTACAACTGACGAATGCAATACATTCCGTTTCACTTTGACTGTCAGACTTCTGACTATAAGTTTATGGTTAGCTGTGGACCGTACGTTTAAAACATAGAGTAAAGTAATAATACTAAAAAAACAGCTGTTATCAGTCATTTTCTGTCAGCCAAAAGTCAACAAGAACTATAGATAAATTTTAATAGTAATCAAAAAAGAAAATGGAAATGGGGAACTCATAAAATATGATTTTAAAACAATTTGCAACATTCCGTCAATAGTAAAAACTCAAATATGCCATGCTTACACAAATTCGTCGACTTTTTCTTTTTCGGAGCTGGTTTCAGTATTGGATATGGTTTCATGACAAATGTTATTAAGCTATATGGAAACCATTTCGGTGATAGCGTTCCAGTTAAATACGAAGACGATGATGATGACGATGATGATGATTATTAAGTGCTCTTTATAAGTACGTACTATTACTTCTATTTTCTCCAACCAAATATTAAGGATTTCAGTAAGACCCCTCTTTGAGGAGTGGCTTGAGAGACGCCACGGCGTCCTCATCTTCCGCCTGACGCGGGTCCTTACCAGGCACGGCAGCTTTGGTAGGTTCATATTTCGGATTCAGCGGGAGGAAACGCCCGAGTGTCGTCACCGTCATACGGTGACGGTGTGCCCTGCCTGGGCTGAGCGCCGCCGTGTCCTCGTGGAAGTGATCGGCGGCGCGCCCAGCCTTAGTCGAGGCCATGATTCGTAGCGAGAGGAACTGGGAAGCCGCCTGCTCTTTCTGCGACGCAGTGATGCTCGCAAAGGAGGTGGAGCGCGTGAGGGAACTATCCTCCTCGCGCCCCAGCCGCCGCAGTAGGCGACATTCCGGGCATCGGGGATCGAGAGATGAACGTGGCGAGTAAGGGTAGCTCGCCGCCCGACCAGAACCAGAGCCGAGCGCATGGTGCGTAGCATTCCGCGCGCGCCTCAAAGAGCCAATGGACCACTACAGACGGGGCCCTGTTCTAGGCTGATGTTCAGCCGGGGTTGCGGGTTAAGCGCAAAAGTCACCGCAGCCTCGGCCCAGAGCAGGAGAAGGAGCGGGTGGGTTTTAAGTCAGTAAGAGTCTGACACTCTCTCTCTCGCCTAACTCTGGGCGAGAGAAGTCATTTGATCGTTTTCCCCTGACAAAAAAAAACCAAGGTATTAAGGATTTTGGGAAATGGTTTAGTCGGATAATTGTAGGTTAGGTAATAGGTTATTCTAACTTGATTTAGTCTTTTTAAACCTAGGTTAGAAAGTCAGAGAGAGTTTACAATTTTCAGTTGCATTTTAATCTTCTGCACTCCCATCGCCATCTAGACATGGAAGGAGATCCAGCGGAAGATTATAGAAAATGAAAGGAGAACTGGTAAGTGCGTATGTGTCATATTGTAAAAGTGTTTTGTTTAAGTGCAAAGCTCTATGCCATGCTAATTGTTAACAATTACATTTTGATTCCAATATTAATTAAAACTTGTACACTTGAATTCTCCAAAAAGGAAAATTCTTCATCACTCAACATTTCATTTATAAAATATTCCAAATAAAATATTGCTTCCCACAACAAAAAAAGATTTAACCAGTAGTACTTGTCGATGTTTGCCATTATCGGAACAGAAGAGATACAGAAGGATTGATAACACTTCATTTAGTAGAGAAATAAAAAAATTATTATTAAAAAAACAAAATACCCGACTGCACACTAAAAAAAGAGTGAAACAAGCCCCACAATACAAATTTACTGAATATAATTTATAAATGTTGATGGAAAGCATCGCAGGCGGGGACCAACAGAGGCTTATTTATAGTCATTTCTGTTGTGCACCATTTAGCAGAATTTTCGTTGGTGGCGGTCAAGGTGGTCCCCGCCTGCGATGCTTTCCATCAACATTTATAAATTATATTCAGTAAATTTGTATTGTGGGGCTTGTTTCACTCTTTTTTTAGTGTGCAGTCGGGTATTTTGTTTTTTTAATAATAATTTTTTTATTTATAACTTTTTAGCTGTTTTTATTTAACGAAAATGTTGTAGACGTAGAAGACTATGTATATGTAAGTACCATTTTAAATTATTTCGACGACATTTGGCTTTAGATTACTAGTGATGTTACTCCGCAACATAAATTTACCGCCAATCTGGACTGTTGGTAGTGAAGAAGAAAAAGAATTAGGTGAGTCATTACTGCTGAAGATCCCGCAAACGTTTAAGTTCAGTTAAAGAACATTCGTCGTGGGGCCGGTCCAACAGCTTTTTTGGGTCAAGTGTTTTTATTGCTAACCCAGCAAGTGTTTTAACAAGGCTTAGGGCTACATAAGCCTGGCCCTTTGCAAACACGTTTGATAGGTCCACGACAGCCCGATCCAAGGTGGTACCTTGCAGTTTGTGTACCGTTACAGCCCAACAAAGTATCAAAGGCATGCCAGGCCACGCCCTATCTTTTTGCTTGCTAACGCATGAGTTGCTTTGCGTTGACGCAGAATTAACATGTTCCCGTGGGAATTTTGAGAAAAAACGTATCCTATATTAATTACTCCCGTGATTGAAATGAATCTAATGATACCGCACACATATTTTTTTAAAGGGAAATTTAGAAAAAATATTATTATGTCTTTATCCCGTGGGACTTTTAGGATAAAATGTATCCTATGACACTCCCGTAATCAAGACAAATCTAACGATACCTCATACATCAAAATCCATCAAGCCGTTTAGGCTACAGGAGGTCACAAAGGAAAAGACATACATACATACTTACATACACTCGAAAAACATTACCCTCCTTCTTTGGCAGTCGGGTAAAAAAGGATAATCATACATAATTATAAAGTACGCTCAAAAACCCGCCCCGCCTCGATCTCTGTGACTTTGAGGCGCGAGGCGGAAAACGACGTGCCGTACGCTCTGTTTCTGGTCTGCCTCCGTCCTGTGGCCGCAGATAGTCGCGTTACCGCCGACCAATACCATCGCTTAAAGATACCCTCTTTCTCACTAACTGGAGTTGCGCGTAATGAGGCACCGCAGCCTCTGCACAAAAAATCCTCTTTCTCAACCCTAATTAGTTTTGTTGTGACAGCAAAAAGATGGAAGAAAAGTGCTATTTGCAGCCTTAGTATACATTTGTGGTTGTTTAATTTACACCAGTTTTGGCCAGTTGCGATAAAGACCACAAACAAATCTTCTACAAATGAAAAAAAAAACAGCTAACCTTAACAGATGTTGACGTAGACGTCAAAAAAATCATTTTAGAAGAACATGACAAAATTATCCCGGATAAAACTTTGCTAAATACGCTTAACGCGTTTTCCATTTAAATAAAACACGTACGTGAACACGAAATTACGAGTCATGGGTAGATCCATCCCAATAGTCCACGATGTCATTTTGTTTTCTATGTCGTTTATTTTTTCATACAATGCTATGCATTACTGGATAAGGGAGCACCGTTATAGAGAACAGGAGGGCTCCACTCGTGCCATCCATAAGGAAGAAGAAGCCACTATGTTGCGACGATAAAAGTACGTATGAAAGTAGTTGTTATTTTTCAAGAGGCAAGATTCAATATTGTAACATTTCAATGTCTCATGGATAGCCGCAAAGGAGTCAGGACTGCGTTGTTTGAAACTGAATAGGGCTTTTATAATTTTATAAAACCCGCTAGAGGATCCTAGTTAATTGGAATAAAAATCCGCCAAGCGGGAAACAGTAGGTTATAATTAAGATTGTTACTGGTGATGCCTGTATCTAAAAGTGGACGAATAAAGATTCCAAGATTTTAGTATAATGATGGGTAAAATTATATGATATATCAATTAGACCATATTGTTCAAATGTGGGTAATTTACGTAAAACTTATCTCAGTTTTAATCTGTGATGAATGTTTGGACAATTGTATTTCTAATAAATGTTATCGTCAATCATAACTGCGGATGATTTATATGAATTCTCAATTTTATTTTTCATTAAATATAAAATGTTGCGTGCAATTAGTAGGATACAATTACGACCTTAAAAAATCAATTGAAAATGAAAAAATTCCAGGTATTTTCAAGTAAAAATCTGACACTACCTCTCTCCTCACCCTGGGCGAGAGAAGTGATTTGATGATTTTCCTCCCACAAAAAAGGCATTTTCCTGTCCAATCGAAGCAGCTAAAGCACAACATTGTAGTTCAATATCATGAATAAGTAAACAGTGTCCCACTATTTCCATTCTTGGTATGAAATGCATCATGAATTGATCAGTCATTCAAGACGGCTGTTTCTCTTGTCAGCTGTGCGCTCCTGGTACGCTGACAATGATCAACTACATTTCTACTGTAAAAATTTACTATGCGATGTGTTTATTTCTTAGTTCGTATGTTATAATTCTGATTATAGGAGGTAAATTGTCAAGTACTTGACCTACTTATACTTATGAGAACCTGGTATTTCTAACCGTTAGTTATCCAGACAACTAGAAACGATTATGATTGATTTTTGGTATGGTAAATGTTTGGCAGCAAGCCTGCTGGTTGAACAGTTATTTTTCCAGGATATGATTTAAAATATTATGTAAAATAATTGCTACAGAGAATAGACGTTAGCTCATCATAATTTTAGAATATTGGCGATTAACCCGTAGTATGCCGCTGGTGTTATCCGGAACGCAGATCAACGCGAGACACAATACATTTTTTTAATGTATCTTACATATCGACAGTCAAGTGATTAAATAAAAAATGTAAATTAATACCATTTTGTGTTTATAGGATTAACTGCAAAACAGTTCATATACATTAAATTAATTTATTAACATACCTTTTTTCGTCTTTTCCTCCCAGGATATGTATTCAAAGGTTGCGGTGGCGGTGGAATGTGGTAGAAATATGGTGGAGTGTACATCAAGTCTTCAAGTCCTGGAGTAATGGGCGTACCCCGCGATGGAACCATGGACCGCACAGTGCCATACAAACTCCTTTGACGTCCTGTTTTCCCGTGTATATTCATCATGACACCAAATTCACACTGGCTCAACAGTTTGCACGTTTACACGATCACGGTAAAAAAGTAAAACTGCCCGAAAATTTTATTAAAGATCACATCGACTCTTCAGTGTAGACAGCGAAACTCATCCTTAGAGTACAACTTAATTTTTATAAAATAAAAAATAAGCTACCGAACTATTGTTTTTTTTTTTTGTTGAAGTAAATGTAACGAGGATCTAATAGATAAATATTTTTTTGTAAATATTAGAATCTTTAGTTCCCCGTTTTACTGGACGTAGGTTGGTGGTTGGACGCGAGCGGCCAGTGTTGTCACTGTTTCAGGCTAAGTGCGTGATTGGTTGGAGAATGCGTTGTTCTATCGTGAGCACGTTACATCTAATTATCATAGTTTATCTGCTTTTTCCAATTGGGTACGTGGAGCGCGACGTATCGACATACTGATGTTTGAAAACGTATAAAAAGTGCCCGCACGCAGATGCGCGCGCCGATCCACATCGATAGTTTTAAAAAGTTGTCTTTATTATTTTATTTGTATTATTATACCCATTTGTTGATTGATTAATTAGTGCTTTTATGTTCAATTTCGTTGAGTGGTCTCGTTTTCAATTTAATATCTTGGATGTTATAATCATGCATCTGGATTTTCAGACTGATAGTTCGTTTTGTTTTAGTTAGTTACACAAGTACAAGTATTTTGGTAAAAAATTTTGGTTATTTATAAAAGCAACTAATTATTTCCAATTTGCATAATAAGCCTAAATATATTTTATCAATAAAAAGTATGAATGTGTATGACGCAAGTGTATTATACCATGTCATTTCTGTGGGGAATTTTGTTGTGCTATAAATTATTTGTTGTAAGTATCGAAGTAGTGCAACTCTTCAAATTTTTTATACGTTTTTCCAATATTGTCCAAATTGACGTCACTTTTTTCCAAATTTTACACTCAGGTATTTATAAAAATGGGGTCGTTTTTTTTATTACATTGAAATCATTTATTTTTTTCAACTTGAAAGGCGTACGAGACATGTTGAGCAGAACCCAGTAGCCCAACCGCTGCGTCAACGAACAATAAATGCAGTTACAACTAATGAATAAGTTACATTGTAGTATTCATGAAGCGTTTGGCAAAGGGCCAGGAATGCTTGCAATTTTCTTGCAGACATATTACACTGCAATATTGTTAAGTACAGGCCTGTATGATCATACCTATAAGGGACTTGTACCTACAAATATCAAGCAAAGCCACGTATATCTAGACCTCTTATGGTTATTACATAGCATAAAACTCCCAATGTCTTTTTTCTATTATTAAATCTTTAAAACTGAGATTTTCATAAGTGTGGGTGAGCCAAGCTTCGGCACGAATGGGTCGGCTCGACTGGAGTCCACGGCCTCACAGAAAACCGGTGTGAAACAATCACAGCGTTGTGTTTCGCCGTGTGAGTGAGGTTACCGGAGGCCCAGTCCTTCCCCTCCCCTGATCCCTCCCAATCCCTAAATCTCCTCGTTACTCCTCGGTCGCAGGTGTTCATGGGCGGCGCTGATTGCTTACCATCAGGTAATCCGTCTGCTCGTTGCCGACCTATTACATAAAAAAATAAGAGGAAGATTTCTAATAAAACTATACATTAAATAGGGGAGAATGTTGTATCAGCATTGCAACCGTGCGCCACAGGAGCGGGCTGCTAGTATATATACATATATGTATAGGTACTTATAAGGTACTTAAACCTAAAAATTGATCACCAAATATAACCACGATGATTTTACATCATCATCATCATTAAGTTTGCCGTAATTTACTTCCAGATCGGCAGATTTAAACGACCGGCATTCAGCGTCTCCTAGCGGCCTCTATTTAAATTCTATCACCCATCAGTTTATTGTAGGATACAAGTTTTAAAAGGATTGGTGAATCGAAATAAGTAGTTATACGTATTTCATTATTAATCCACTCGTGTTTGTCGATTGACTGTATGAAAAATGTTTTAAAGAGGTCTAGTCATAATTCTATTTTATCGTATTGATGGGCAAATGTCTCTTCTTTTATGGAGAAACAATCAGAATCATCATGACAATGATACTTGCGGAGTTTTTAATTCGAAACCGCAGACTTGAGAAATCTTAATCTCCTTCTTATAAACAGTATTGAAGAATTTATTAATTCATAAAACACTATTTTATGTGATTGATAAAATAAGCTCATTCTATAACTTGTACTGTTCATAACTCAACGCCCTCTAGCTGACTGCGTCGGTATCAAAATACGAGTCTGGCGCTACGTCATACATAGAGAAACCAAAGCTTACTTTGTGTCACTTCACTTTCAGTTCGCCTATTCAACTCTAGATGGCGCTGCACGCTTAATCAACCTACATGATTGACGTCGAAAACTTCAAATTAAAAAACGTTTTGTCAAAAATGGCAGACTAACAGAAATTAACGTAATTACAAATAAAATTAATAATGTATATAGCTTCTGTTTTCACGACCACGGTCGAAGAATAATTACACAACAACAAAATGGCTGCTGGAAGGGCTACTAAAGCGTTTTTCAACTTCATTTTCGACACGGTACACTGTGCCGGCATCAGCGGCAAGGATAATGGATTTGGTAACAATTACGTTTGGGCTGGATCTTTAGAATCAGGTCTCCAGATAGCCACACACCACAGGAAACCAGTGATGGTGATCATTCACAAATCGTGGTGTACAGCCTGTAGAAATTTAAAGCCTAAGTTTGCCAATTCCCCTGAAATACAAACGCTAAGCAAACACTTCGTTATGGTCAATTTGCTTGATGAAGACGAACCTAAAAACAATGTTTATGCTCCAGATGGAACATACATACCGAGGTACAAGTTTCATTAGCCTAGAATCTTTTATTTCTGTTTAACTTGGTGCCTCCAATATAACGACCTTTCAGGTCTCAAGTTTTTATAGTTAAAACATTTTAGCTATAAACCATTGAACAGTTCCAACAGCTGTCCTACTCAAAGGATTAGAAGGATTTCTCATCTACTTATTTTCATAAAGGAGCATAGTTGATTTTTATTGTAATCCCCATAAACTATGTTATTGTTTATTTGTTTAGTACTTCTCACATTTGGCATAAACCAACAGTTAATTCGAACTATTCAGGATTTGACTTCAAGTAGTGATTTGGATAGACCTACTCGTAATTTTTCTCTCCTCAATTTACTTTCCTGTTTTCAGAATTTTGTTCATATCACCGAAAGGTATGGTGGACCCTGAGATTGTAAACGAGGAAGGCAGTAGCCAACACAAATACTTCTACAGCAAACCTGAACAAATTGCCAAATCAATGAGAAAAGTGCTTGACAAATACAACGAAGAAAAATTTGATGTATGAGAAGTAAAATTTTAGAATAGTTACATGAGAAAGTTAACATTAAATGATATCTAATGACTTCTAGATTTACTTCTGAAATGACTGACATCTCTCTTTTCAAATGTAACGAGCAAATTCTTATATAGTTCTCTGACATCGAATTTATTGCTTCCAGGAAGCGCGGCGTTAAATCGGCAATATATTTGGCAAACTGTGTTAACATAACTATGACGTGACTGTAATTTGTACCAATAAAACACAGAACCGCGTATTTGTTTTTAATTTCTTTTAAAACGTACATAATCTTTGGTATTGAGAGCCGTAGTTTAAATGATTGCATCTCATGTATAGTTACTGTTCTCCTTATTATTATTTTGACCAGTTTTCCTATCTTCTTATAAACACGCAACCTTATGTATGGTTTTAGTTGCAAATAATGGAATGTGGTTTTATCATCCAGATCTCTTACAGTATACCCTAGTATTTAACTGTTATCATTGTAGGATACTGAGTATAGTGGACCAAAAAAGATGTCACAGAAGAGTTCATTATTATTCTTTTTAATGCTAGGCAAGACTTATACTGTCCGTTTCAAACATGTTGATGAATTTTTAAGTTCCGACGATCATAGTCACTCCACATTTGTCGTAGAATTTTAGGTTAAGAAACAAAATCAATATACTTACATCTTCGACGACTGGTTCCACGTACATCTCCATGGTGTTGTTGAGGGGTGGCAGTGGCATTGGCATGGGCGATGCCGCCGCCGAGGACCTGCGGGATATGCTGTTGCAAGAACATTGTGACACGGACCGACGAGACCGGGGAGATTCTCTGTGGACAAGACAGAATGTTCTATTAATATTATATCTTCACTTTCGCAAGTAGAGGATGTAATATTGTTACTTTTTGATTTGGTTTTATCGTCATCGTCGTCTGGCCAGAGCTGGATTATTATTTCAAATGGATTGTTTGTCTGTTTACACTGTATCTATTTTAATGGGCGATTTCCGATAGTCTAGTGATCACGAGCAGAAACGACAGGGTGCTCACCCGAAGAGGTCTCACCCGAGGAAGTTTACTTTATGGATTAAAGAAAATATTATTATTGCTAGGTTTTCGATTGTTAGTAAAAGGCAAAGGTTCGCACAATCATAGAATATTAGTAATATTAGAAATCTTCATCATGTAATTCTTCCTGGAATAATTTCCTTTCCTTGTTACCTTCCAATTGAATAAAGCGATTATGTGCATCATAAGTAGTTCTCGGTATGTTTATGTATAACTTCTGATTGTTATGTGCATGCTTGTTCGAGTACGTGGTTACATAGAGTTAATTACGGTAAACCACATTCCAAGACTACCAAGAAATATGTCAGTTTAAGTTGGAACTCATAAGTGTAACTAAAATATAACAGCAAAGTTCGTAGCAAAAATTATGATTATTATTTTTGATTAATTCGTATTATATCGAAAGATAATTGAAGGTACTACTAACTAAGCTTTGGATCTCTACTTTAACATTATAAGTACTTATAAAGCTGAAGAGTTTGTTTGTTTGCTTTAACGCGCTGATCTCCGGAACTATTGGTTCGAATTGGATAATTATTTTTGTGGTTAGATAGTCCATTTATCGAAGATGGCTATAGGGTAAAAATCATCGCACTGGGAGCCGAATAGCGCGTGAAACTGCAGTAAGAAATATTTTTTCTATGAGTACATTCTCGAAAAAAATGGGTAGCTGGGCAGACGACGGACTCCCGGTAATGTCACCCAATTACCTACAAAATTTAATGTTGTTGGCATTAATTACAAATATTTCATAATTTCAATCAATCAATCGATGGGATTATCTCCACATCTACATAACAATGTCGGAGAGCAAAACTTCGGCACGATTGCTTACCATAAGGTAAGATTGTTAGCCGATCTCTACCATAAAAAAACAAAACAAGAGAGCTCTATTTTCTTCCGATACATAACATTAGTTCCCAAACATTTCCAGTAAACAAAAAAATCATTAGAACAAACACTACAACATATTATACATTCAGTGACAGAGCGCGTTGTCATTGACAGAATATTAATTGCTATAAATTTTAATTAGCCATCGGTCAACGGCCGTGAGAACTGGGCTACAGAAAACAACTGATGTTTTTGTCACCTATCTGCTAATTATAAATTTTCGTTATGTGTTGATATTTATAGATCTATATGAATAATTTAAGGGAAAAGTTGTGAAAATCGAAGAGCTTCTTCAAAAAATGAGATTTAACGCATTTCTCGCAGCTGTTAACCATGAGGACTCATTCTCAAGCCCTGAAATCTACCTTGTTGATTAATATTTACCACTAGCGGCCCGCCCCAGCTTCGCACGGGTCCAACTATCTCGCTATCAAAGGGTCACTTTTTCCTAATCTACTTTTCTAATATTTCCTTTCATAAGAACCTTCTCGTGACAATAACAAACACAACAAAAAAAAGAATTAGCAAAATTGGTCCAGGTGTTGTTGAGTTATGCGCTTACCAACACATTTTGCGATCCATTTTTATATATAAAGATAATGTATCACTGACTACATAATAATATGTTCATAATGTAGACGGTGTTATGATAAAAAATAAAAATAAGTGCCACAAGAAAATATGAACGAATCCTGTTGTTAGCAAATCCTTGAAAGACAAAACTATTCGCTGTAACAGAATAGTCTTTCAGTCAGTCCACTACTAATATTATAAAGAGGTAAAATTTGTAAGTATGTTTGTAGGTTTGTATGTAGGTTCCCGAGTGCTATAGGCTATGAAACATCCTACGATTAAATGGAGCCGAGCAGTGGGCGAAACCGCGCGAGTTTAGCTATCGTTTATAATAGCGCCTTTGCTAACTTAAACCTGGCATTTTACATATTACTAGCTTCTCTCGCACGGATTCACCCAAATTATACAAACTTACAAATTTTAACTCTTTATAACATTAGGATAGATGAAGTCCATCAACTTAACAGGCCTTTAAGTAAGTCTTGAACTGAAAATTGGACGGTATTAAAAAAGTATAGACCAATCCTCCAAGTAAATAAAATTTACTGACGTAAATGACTCCATTAATACAGTGACTAGATAGACGGCTGTGTTTATGTGTGAATTAGAAATGTTTATTTCACCCGGCAAAGCGAAGCAACAAAAATTCGACATAGCTCTCCTCTCTCCAGAAAATTATAAATAGAATCGTTGTGGACACGTTAATGAATCCTTAAATCGTGCAGCGGCGCTAAGATTGGTTATAAAAGCGACTAGTTGGGGGCATAAAATGTTAATGTACCATCTTTTTAGACTTCTGAAACTGCTTCGATTGGAATTTGAAATAGCTGATGTCGGTAAGAATAGGTTTAGCGTACGTTTCAAAACCTTCATGTTAGTTCCCGAATAACTGTAACACAACGTTCATACATATTACGTTCTTAATTCAAATGGATCTGGTACTTACAGACATTATGAAACAGATCTACATAGATTTATTTTTAAAGAAGTTATATTGTCTTCATTTTCAGACTGGATTGGATAAAGTGCTTATTAAAAGACTCAGTTTGTATGATATACTTTTCTGGTAACTTTGCAAAGTCAGAGTTCCTGTTGCTGTCTACAACCACAACAAGCATATTATTTGTTAGTTTATACGATATTATATTTGATAGTTTGATTGTTTCGGCAACCAAGCTTAAGGTTTTGGTATCTATCTAATCTACACTTTCTCTTAACACACAATTTGATTATGGACCTAGTTCTTTTTACTGGTCACTAAACCAAGATTAAAAAATGTTCACATTGCTAAATCAAACTTCACAAACAGCTCAATTCAAGGTTAGACTTTCATTACCTTCTGCTTCTCCGACACACGTGGTGCGAGGTCCGTTCACATCTGCACCTGACAGGCACGAAGTACCCCAATTGAGGCAACGGTCCAGGTTCCGTAGAATCACTAGAGTCACTCCACTCTGGCTGGCTAAAAAGCCCAATGTCCAGCGCCGACGGCATTTTAAAAAACACTTAAGTAGTTCTTTTTTTTTAAACACAATACTATTTTGTTGTTTACGATCTAGGTAGGTAGCCAGTTGCAATTTTATTTTTCGTTCGTTTTATTTTGTTTTTTTTTTTACTTTTAGAATAGGTTCTATAAATTCAAATAATATGTGCGATTAGGTAACGTACGTTAATCTCTTGTTTGGCTATCGGATTTGTACAATGCCCGATTAAGAAGTTATGGGTTGTCTTACAAAATTGTGTAATAATTTTACACTAACGTGACTGATAATTTGTCATACATCGTTCGACGATTGACTCAGTATCATTAAAGTTTCATTCATTTTTTTCACCTTACTATAAAGTAAATTCTAGTTTTACTCTCTCTCTGATATCTATTATATTAACTTTACGTAAACCAGTTCATCAGTTCTTAATTATGATCTATTCTCTCTTCAGATAATTCTGATCATAATTGATCTGTCTTCAAAATTTCGCCACTGACCAAGCACAAGCCCAACTCCCACAAAACACAACAAAATCAAAACAAAACTATTGAAAAATAAACAGAAAGTTTAAAAAAAAAGGTCTAATTGCCACAAAATTTTGAATGTACACACAACAGTGTTTTAGTTACACTATTTAGGAGTTGCCAAACACGTGTAGATTGGTTAATTACAGAAATTTACAAAAGGCACGACTTGCTGTTAGAAATTCTGATACAGAATGAATGTAGTTATAATATTTAGTGTACAAACAGAATGATAAGTGACGTGGGTGCGTCTACAATTATTAAATCGAAATAGTAATGATATGAAGATAAGATTACGTGTTTATAATCATTTTTAGGTTAGCCGACGTAAATTTGGAGCGCCAAGCCTAAAGAATTATCGGTAGCCCAAAAAAATATCATTTGGTGGATTATGGCCAGTGTTGTTACAGTTAAGATTATATTTAGAAGTTATGGCTTTGATAATATTTATAGTTTTTTTGTGAAGGGAAAATCATCAAATGACTCTCTCTCCCCAGGGTGAGGCGAAAGCGAGTGTCAAAATCTTACTGACTAAAAACACGCCCGATCCTTCTCCTGCTCTAGGCCGAGTTCGCAGTGCCTTATTGCGCTTGCCCGGCAACCTGAGCTGAATATTGTTCTTACTTGGACGTGAACTGTCAACACACAACAAACCACCGGAACAAGAGCATGATAAATGTGGGGATACCTTCAAAATTAGCCTTGGAAAGGTTAACGTCAAAGTCGTTGCTCTTTAGGAAACGTCTAAGAAAGCATGGGATTATTACCACACAAAATCACAAGGCCAGTTGCTTCCACAATTGCGTATATTAAACCCGTAACTCAACTGTAGCATTTCACGGCGGGACTTTAGTTCCTAAAGATGTTTTACAAGAAATACCATCGATTTTCCCAACTTTGCCTGCTCTTTCTAATGTCTGAGAAACCTAATACTGTTCAAGGACATAAATCCCATTTATAATTCAGCTCAGTAGCAGGCAGAGGTAGAGAAAATATTGTATTGTTCGTTGAATTATTATAGTGATAAGTACCTACCTTGTAAAATATTAGTCAGGCTTTGCTCAAACATTGGGCACAATTTTGTTTTTTCCTTCAGATTCGTTCTAATTTTAAAAACCGAACAAGAACTCCTTACCTTAACATTCACGGAAAAGTAATGATGGAGGTTTTAATACACATTTTTGTGAATACTCGTATAATCCCTATAGAAGTAAACAAAAGGCTTTTTTATTTGCCTGATTGATCTAACCTCGCGGTAAAAATCTAGGCCATACTACGTAGATAACAAAATCTTATAATAATCTGTGATAGTTACATATAATCCTTTGCTAATCCTCGTAGGTATTCAGAAGCCGTAGTAAAGAATAACTTACTCGCATATTACTCATACCTTATAGTAATTTCGATGCGAAAAAGGGAAGGAAATATTCGATAGAAGTTCGTGTCTCTCTAACTTTCTCTAACTCTATTGGGAATATTGTGTTGTAATTCTACAAGGATTTGGTTCAACACATTTAGATAAGTACTCGACTAAGTTCTATATTAATAAACTGGCACATGGTGTCAATTTAGATAATGTGTAAAAGACCTGATGGGTTTCGGTATTAAAAGAAGAAGGGGAAGGATTAGGCCTCCGGTAACCTCACTACCATGGCGAAACACAACGCTGTGGTTGCTTCACGCCGGTTTTCTTTGTGGCCTTAGTATCACTTCGGTCAAGCTGACCCATTGTGCCAAAGCTTAGCTCTCCCACACTTCAAAATTACATCAAATACATAAGTTATGCTGACGTCGAAAGTATGCACTTTAGTTGTAAAACAAAACCATCCTTGCTTGAGTCTAAGTAAATATTTGTATATACATCGAAGTGTATTCAGACGATACGAATTTACATATCCTCACCTACCACTTACATTCTATATAGTAGTCCACTAAGAACAATGTACAGACAACTTGTACATCAAACTATGTTACATAAAAAGCCATAAGTGTTTTCGATACGATTTTTACCTTGATATTAATATTTAAAGTAATTCTAAAACTATCTTTGTATACATATGAATTTTTCAAAGAGGAATCTACACATTGCAATGAGCATTTATCTAGCTTCATTGACGAATTGATTGACAGACTATCGTCTATTTTGACCTTTACAACATGTACTTTTGAACGTTAAAATTTTGTGTCAGTGTTATTGTGTATTATGGTTTAGTTGGAGTAAAAGATTTTGACCTTGACTTTGACTAAACTATATTCCCGTACAGTTCGCTCGATAGAAGGATCTATATTATAAAGAAATAATTATTTAATTTTGCCCAGTAGTTCCGGAGATTAGCACATTCAACAAAATAGTCACACATACAGAATTATCTCACAGGCAGCATTAAATGCTCTATAATATTTCGTCGTGTGAATATCTAAGCCTCAATTCTGACCCCTATACCAAAATCGCTAATCCTCAACCCCTAAAAGGCTGGCAACACACTTGTAAATTCTCTATTATTGCCCTTTCACTACCAATTGTTAATCAGGTGATCCGTCAACTCATTTTCCATCCATTGCCACAAAAAAGTTTCATATACCCATATGAGTACATATTTTTGGATGTATATGATCTGGTCGAGTGGTTGGATAAACACTTGCACCGTTAAGTAGGTTGGTTGTCCGTTTGAATATTAATTGTATGCACGGCAGTTACTTAGGAATTCCACATCCACTTCACATGCGTCATGATTCCATGAAGAGAATGCACTTATTGCTTTGTTGAGAGCTTTGCTCTTTAGTGCTTGGAGAAATTTTAGTAGTTCAAGAACTTTGTTTTAGAAAGACATAGATAGTAATAGACAGACAGAAATTAACAGGGATGTTAGGGAGCTCCGAAACCGTAACCAAATCCGAAATAAAAGTTTCAGAGAGTATCGGATAGGGACGTAGCCTAATTGAGACACGTTATGTTTGTATTTTTCTTTTTAATTTCCTTGAAATATTTATACCGTATCCAGTATAAGAATCATTCCTTTATCCGTATCCTATCCGTGTTCGAAATTTCATATCCATATTCCATAACATCCCTAGAAATTAAATATCAATGGCCCTATTTACTTTCTTAACATCGGTTACTTAACTACCAAACTTCTTGTCATTGATGTGAACGACTCTACTGTCTCACAACCCCATCTCTATTTTTAATGGTCTTTAAATTCCTGTCAAAAGTTTCAATCAAACCAGATAATTTTGATAAGGTTCTTATCCAAACTAATATTGTAAATGCGAAAGTAACTCTGTCTTTCTGTCTGTCTGTCTTTTCTTCACGCCTAAACTACTGAACCGATATCTGTGAAATTTGGAAAGTACAGACATAGTTTGGAACTCGAGAAAGGACATATGATAGTTTTTTTTTATACCAAAAACCTGCAGGAACTCACTATTTCACGCGAACTGAGTCGCGGGCAAAAACTAGTAAAATATATTTTCTGCCATTAATATCAGGATCATATATTACTACTACTACTAAGAAGTTAAGAACATATTTTTTTTATTCCACCTAGGTACTGGCCAAAAATCCGTTCTGTTCTTTGCTTTATGAACCTTAACACATAACAGCAGCTGCTCTAGTCATTGTTTAAACAAATAAAGCTGTGCTAGTCTCGGGTTTCCTCAAAAAGCGACCCAACCATCAAAAACGTGAAGGCACGCGCATTCCTAAGGTACCGGGATCAATGGGATTTTTTATACTAGCTAGTTCAATCTCTGCATTGGATATTCAACTTCATATCTTTGTGATAGAGTGTAAAATTGTTTCAAAATATTGGGTAGTTTAGGGTAGGTTGTTGTGCTGTCTTCCTTTTTTTTTTGTACGTGATCGTGACTCAGAAAGGGACCGCCGTTGTAATTTAATTATGATTGGACATTATCATTCTTTTGTGTGTGGTGGGAGAATAGAGAAAAAGATTTTATTTGAAGTAACTATACCTAAGCAAGAAGGTAAGGTAAATAGCAAATTCGGTAGTTAGCAGACCACATAAAGAAAGAGAGAAATAAAGAAAGAAAGAAAGAAAGAAAGAAAGCAAGAAAGAAAGAAAATCCATTTATTTTCGCGCAGAACACACATGAACTTAAAACTTCAACAAAAACATTAATATAGAAAGCGAAAGGTAATCATTACAGGATTATAACCACATAGAAACTAAATGGAGCTGTGCCATGTCTCTTGTAGGATAAACTTTATTTCAAAAAGTATTATAGACTAGCTACCGCTTGCGGCTTCGCCAGCGAGGTTTTGTTTATAAAAAAACCTATGAGTTAATCCAGGGTATCACCTATCTACATAGATACCAAATCGGTACCTACAGCCGTATTTGCGTAAAAAACTAACAAACATAAATTTTCACCATCTTTCACATTTATAATATTAGTAGGAAGTAGGATTATTCCAATTGATTCGTTTGTATTTGGCAACGAAAATGCTGCATTTCCTTGGCCTACCAATTGTAATGGTGCTAGACACAAA